AGAATACCATGGAAGTGCAAAGAAAGCTAGAGAGTGAGCAAGCATACCCCAAAACAGTCCTGGATGTCCTAATAATCGACTGGCAGGAGGCATTATGCAGGCGGTCAGTTGGATGTGATGCATCCACATGGAAGAAGATCCATAAAGAAAGTCAAGAGGGCGAATGGAGCATTCAAGAGGAGCCCTTGACGGGGCATAGTGGTTTGTAGCACAAGCAATAAGGCAAACGGGGTGATTATCCTATCTTTTCTTTCTGTGGGTATACTGTGATTATTAAATCAGTTCTATAGTAAAAGGAAAGTTAATTATTTCCAGTCTTTTTGTCTTCTTTTGTTTGCTTTTCATTTATGACTGTCCTGTAAAGACTGTCCTGATACATATACCCTGGTACTTTATTAGAGTATAGCCATGGGATGAGCTCCTAGAAGTCCTGTTACTGATTCAAAGGGTTATCTTTCTTCTCCTTTACCCACAAAAAAAATAGTAGAAAATGGTTAGTCAACTGGGAATGGACTGGCCAAGTGGCTCTGGCTTCATATTATTAGTTGTATTCATAAAAGTGGAGGGCAAGTGGTGTGGCACTAGGGAAATATGTGGTGGAAACAAGTATTAATCCCAAGATGGATGGAAAATTGATTTCCTGTAGTCTTTCAATGGCTTGGAAAGCAGACAGTACTAGTGTGGCCATATTCCAATGGAGACAGGCAGCTATCAAACTCCAGCAGCACTAGAATCACCTAGAAGACCTAGTAAAAACACAACCGCTTGAATCCACTCCAGAGGTTCTGATTTGGCAGGCCTAGGATGGGGACTGAGAGTCTGTGCTTCATTCAAGTGCCCAACCCTGTATCACTCAGCTGCCACACCTGAGCATCACTGAGTGAACTGTTGCTTAAACCAGCAAGAAGTGGTTCAGGATGGCCCAAGTGGCCAGTCTGGATTTGACGTTTTTTAACTCCAAAATTTTCTTTAGCTACAGGGATGCTAAAGTTTCAGCTTTGAATGAGTTTTTAAAAATGATGCCCAGGTTAGTCTAGACTGACAACCAATCAGATAAGAATGTATTTGGGGGCTGCACTGGTTAGTTTATGACAACTTAACAAACTAGACTCACCTAGGAAGAAGGGATTCTCAATTAAGGAATTGCCATCAGTCAGACTTGCCTATAGGCATGTCTACGGGGCATTTCCTTAATTAACGATTGATATGAGAGTGCCATCCTTCTGTGGGCAGTGCCATTCCTGGACAGGTGGTTCTGGGTGCTATAAGAAAAGTAAATGAGCCAGCCATGAGGACAAGTCAGTAAGCAGCATTCCTCTGTGTTCTCAGCTTCCGTTCCTGTCTCCAGGTTCCTACCTGGAGTTCCTACCCTGGGTTCCTTCAGCGATGTCATGTGACTTGGAGTTGTAAGATGAAGTAAACGCTTTCTTCCCCAAGTTGCTTTTGGTCATGGCTTTTATCACAGTAATAGAACACTAACTAGGACAAAACCCAAGACACTCAAGATGTGTTCTTAAAGCTTCTAGCTGGTCAGCTACACAGGCTAAGTTGAAGAGTATGGTTCCACTGAGGTCTGTGAGTATCATCTACAGATTGTGACTACTTGGTTCCCTCAGTGTGACCTTCACAGACTTCAGACAGAACATGAAAACGTTTGCAATTGTTGTGTTGTTCTGTTCAGAAAACAGACTCACAGAAGAACGTAGAAGTGTGTATCTTTGGAAGGATCTCATGCTGCACATTTACAATTCTAAAATAGTTGTATCTTTCCAGGACCACATCATGATGCTATAAATAACAGGAAGAAAGACAAAATGCCCAAAATACACATCACCAATGGATGTTCTTTGTCTAAACTTCAAGGCACACACCTGTGGGGAGGGCCTCATACACAATGAGTCTCATCATTTTCTCCCTACCTAGGAGGTCACAGTTCAAATTCAGTGAGGAGATGACATCCCTTGGCTAAAGAAAGGCAACCTTTTCTAAAATCTCTCCTCCACTTATCTGTGGTATTTCTGTGAGTGACAAACAGACAAAAATATATTTATCTAGGGATTATCTATATTGAAAGCTAGGCATAGGATTTCTGTCTCTGTCAACATTGCAGGCATATCAGCTATTTGAACAAAAGGAGAGGTATTTTTCCATTCAATCCCGAATACTGAGGATTCTCCAGTTCATATTCAGAGAGACATTTGGTTTTATTGATCGTGTTAGCTGAATTTGTTTAAACTCTTATAGCCAGGCAAAGAGGAGGTTGATTTTTCTTTTTATTGTAAAGGTTATTAGGGGGAACCAGATATAGAAGTTATTTGTCTTCAGACCATCCAGTGAAATCAGAACACTGAAATGTGTTCCACAAGTTTTGTTCAAAGCCAATACTTTGATGGTCTCAAGAATTACTATATCACTTCATGGGAATTCTCATCTTATGGTCTGAGGCTTAGCTTATTTGAAAAAGATGCCTCGTTGTCAAGGGAGGTTTATATATTATTCTGCTTTTAATTGATAAGAAATATCTAAATTTTACCAACAGTCTGAAGGTTGTAAGCTCCACTTGTGCCATCTGTAGCCCATAGCCCTTTGCTTTAGATGTTACCTTGGCAGACTTTCTGAGCATCCTTTGTTACAAACCTTTCCTTGGCATGCTTGCCCACCATCTCAAAATCTGAAAAGACTATATCCAAAACACTGCATGGTAGCAATTCTGTTTTATTCCTCCTCAGCATCTATCTCTCTATCTGTTTATTTATGTATTTATAGGAGTGCTACTCATTTGTATCAAGTAGAATCTTGACTAGGCTGGCCTCCAACTCACAATTCCCCTGCCTCCATTTCCCAAGTACTCGGACTAAACTACAAGAGTGCACAATCATTCTTGGCATTTGCTTTAAAAAATAATTACTACATTGTTTTTATTTAATTGGAGGTGTTCTACTCATGTGATACTGCACATGTGGGGGGTCAAAGGACAACTTTCCTTCCAACTTTTGGGTTCCAGGGATTAAACTTGGGTCCTCAGGCTTGGCAGCAGACACCTTTACCCACTGATCTGTCTTGCTATACCTCTTCTTAGCTTTTCATTTCTTTATCTTATTTTGTTGCTTGTTTTTATTTTTGTTTGTTTCACTTATATTTGAGAGAGAGAACACGAGGTTGGGTATATATGGAGATGAAGAGGATCTGAGAGGAGTTGGGAAGGGGAAAAGAAACCATGATAACAATATGTTGTATGGAAAAATAATAATAGAAATAAATAGATAATAAAATGACAAAAGAAAAGATGCAAGGGAATAAGCCAATTCCTGAAACACAACTCAAAACCACCAACACTCTTCCTCCCAGGAAGAGTTCAGGTATCACAGGACTCCTCCCCCGAGTTTTGTAGATAATCTGTAACTCACCAGTGAAAAGTGAAGGCATTAGAGGAACCACAGTGGGTATGTCATATAGTAGTGAAAGTTCAGAATGAAGCAGGAACAGCCAAAAGACATCAGGAATGAGGACATGTACTTCTTCCAGACATGCCCTTTGTCTCAACGCATTCTGGTATTGCACTGGAATAAAGTGCATGTATCCAAGGACAGCCCTTTCTTTGCTGAAAAGACTGGTGTGACTTCTAGAAAATGACCACAATATTTTTAAATGAAGATATGCAAATCTGATAGTCTAAAGTAAATGTTTCATAAAACCAATGACTGTTTAAATCGTAGGACTAAATTGTTTGTATATAAATATTACCTTTTATATTCCATTTGAGTTTTATGTAGATGAACACATTACTTTAATGACCTGCATTTACGGAGGGAACGGGGAAAGTGGTTCCCTGAAATCCTTGCCAGCCAGATGGCTGCCTTTTCTTGCATGAGATTAAAAGATGTTTCTCATTCGCCATGATGCTTCTGAGGCAGATTAATATCGCCAGCTAAATTGCTTGTGTTTTCGGAATAAAATTTAAAGAGAACTTTTTAAAGCAATTGGTGTCACCGGTTCTTGGAGCAGATTGCTCTCCAGGTAGAGACACATTCGGTAATTAATGGAAAGAATTCTGTGTTAATTGACTGCTTCGGGAAGAGAGATATAATGACCCCTTATTAATCATCAAAAGAGATGTACAGCATGGAGGTCCCACAATAATTGCTCCAACAGTGGGAAAATGTTAATTAATGAAAAAGAACAATGATGTAAGAAATTAGCTACATAATGCCTGCCTCCAATAGTGGTTACATTTTAAACACATTAGAGTGGAAACCACAGAGTGTTGCTTTAAGTAGCAGGCACACTGGACTTTCTACCATGAATTGAGGTGGGGGGATTAAAAAAATGTTTTTAACAGTACTTCTGAAATCTCTGCTTGAAGAAGTAAGAACTTTCACCCAGAGCTATATTTATTTCAAAGAAAGGGCCCTTGTCAATCATCTCTGATCTAGGCTTTTTAGAATAAAAACCATCCCCAGACCAAAACAAGGTCATTTATTAATGCCCTTTAATTTTAGCACAGTAGGTCATTTTGACTACTAAGGACAGAGGGAATGGAAGACAATGCTGTTCCCAAAACGGAAATCAGCAAATTCAGTTTCTGAACCTTTCCCAGATAGTAAACAATAAAAACATTCATATTCACTTTGGGAATCAAGCATCTTCTTTCAAACAATCTAATTTTAAATCTCTGAGAGAACAGCACTTCCCGTCTCTCTAACAAGTTGTAGAAAACGAAGTTGAGTTTAATGAATATGTGAAGACACTATCAGAAATCAGTACTAGGTCCTCAGAGCAGCAGTATCAGTGGTCACCCTGAAGTCTTGCCTCTGAGAAGTTCCCAGGCCATCCTTCTCCAGGCTGAAAAAAGGGACACCAAAAGGGTCAGGCAGCTGAAGAACAGAATGACACCAACAGCACTCACAGAACCAGCTCCCTGAATAGACCATGAGCTGCCAACACCACATCCCCAACAGAGGCAGGAATCCCACTGACTTCACCCTTGCTTTTCCTTCTAGCTGGAATGTGCTGGGACTACAAGGCGCTCTCCTCTGTCACTTCATCGAGCCTGTGTACCTCCACAGCATCATTGTGGGAAGTCTGTACCACACTGGCCACCTTGCACGGGTCATGAGCCACAGGATGGAGGGCATCGGCCAGCTGCCTGCCTCATACCGGCAAAACAGGCCTCTCCTTAGTGGTAAGAGAGCAGTCTCAAGAAAGAGACATGCAACCTCCTCTTTGTCTGCAGGATCCTAAACACAGGCCCCATGACCACAACTCTTGGCTGATTGCATTCATGTTGGCGATGGCAATTTTGGACTTAATGAACGAAATGACAATGACGAAACTCAATATGGACAAATAAGTGTGTGTGTGTGTGTGTGTATGTGTGTGTGTGTGTGTGAGTGTGATATCTGATAGTAGGTAACATTTTAGCATGAATTCATCTCACGTCAGCATCCTGTTTTCACTGCCGTTTTTAAAGTGGCTCATACAAAAACCCTAATGAGGCTTAAAAGATCCGCAGCCCCTTGGTTGGCCCTGGTATGTGAGAACCTGAGTTCGGATTCTCAAAACCCATGTAAAAAATCTGAATGTGGTAGTGTAGGGGTGAGCTAACAAAACTCTTCAGCCATGGAGGGCTGATGTTCTTTGGCTGGCTGTAGCGCAGTGCGTGCCTGGCTGGACAGATGGAGGATTCTACCTTTGTGAAGGCGTAGGCTTCCTCTCCAGTTCTGACACCAGCTGAGATGGGAGGTCAATGGTATATGGAATATAATATATTTATTTACATTCAAGCTGAGGGGACAGAAAGCGTGGCAGGCTTCCAGAGGAGAAGAGAGCTTCCTTTCCTCTTTCACTTCCTTTTATCCTCACCTGTGCTAAATTTCCCTATCTCCGCCCTTATGGGCGTGAAGAGTTTTGTGGGCTCACCCCTACAGTGGTGGTGCACATCTGTCACTCCAGCACTCTTTTGGGGTGGTGGGAGCTGGAGACAACAAAATCCCCAGAAACTCACTGATCAATTAGCCTAATGAACATATGCAATGGCAAACAAGAGACCTATCTCAAGCAAGGTGAAAAGCAAGAACTGACACTCAAGGTTGTCCTCTGACTTCTCACTGTCCATACTCACACTGTAACACACACACACACACCCCAAAATATAAAGAAAAACTGAAAGGGTCAGTCAACCCCCAGGCCACCTGGAGTGTGTCTGCAGAACCTAGGACACTCTCTGCTACAGGGACTGGCAGCTTGCACATATGGAAGGCAAACCCTAAGCAAACTACACTTGCTACTTTCCATAGAGCCTAGGTGCTGTTAGGGAGCCAGACGTGTCACCCCACCTAGCAACAGTTGGTTGCAAGGGTTACAGGTCACATAGCCGTGGAAACACTGGAAGGTGTGAAATGTGTGTACCATAGAAAGGAGTCAGTGAGGAGTTTCCAAGGCTTTGGAAAGGTGATGTTGAGCCATTGGGACCATTGGACTTCTGTATTCATTGTAAACTTCCAGGATTGTGAGAGACAACCAGAGCAGAAGGAAGAATCATGTGGGTTTCAATCCTGTCCTGTTAGCCTTGCGGTGAGAACCTGATGGACTCTAGATCATTAAGTGGGTTCCCCTTTATGTACCAAGAGAGTTCTTTTGAGGGACTACGTGCGGCAAAATCAGGAAGACACACTGAGAAACACTGGAACTCCCTGTGCAGAAGCAGGCCTGGGCTCCGCTCCAGGAGCTGGAGGCAGGCTTTCACAGACTTGGATGGTTGGCTTTTAGTTTGTTCTGTGGTGTGAATGTGAAATGCCTTCCACAGACTCATGGGGGTTAGTACGTAGTCCCCAGCTAGTGGCACTGTTTGGAAAGGTTGTGAAACTCTTACATGACAGGCGCTTTATCCAACTGTGCCATGGAGCCAACTGCTGTGGTTGTCAAGCTTCTAGGAGGAGGATTCTTACTAGCAGAAGTAGGTCCCTGCATGCAGGCCTAGAGGTTTTATAGCCTCACTTGCTATCTGCTCAGCCTCCTGACTGTCAGTGCAATGCAGTTAGCCTCCTTTGGCTCCTCCATGATGGATAGATCTCCTCAAACCATAAGCCAATGTAAGACCTTCTTCCCTTAAGTTGCTTCTGTGGAGTAATTTGATCACAGCAATGAAAAAAGTAATACAGCCTGAGTCTCAGGAAAGAACAAAACAGTAAAACAAAGCAGTTGTTGGTGTCTATGTGTGTGTGTGTCTGTGTGTCTCTGTCTGTCTGACAATGTCTGTGTGTCTATGTATATCTGTGTGTATACTCTCTGAATGTCTATGTGTCTGTATGTTACAGTTGGGCCTAAGATTCATTCCTAGAGTTTTTAAATTGCTCCACATTATAAGATCAGGTGTGAAAAGGGGCCTCATGGGAGCTGTGGTGTGGCTGAAATGAAATGATTCATGCAAAGCACAGAGCCATGCTGAGCACATTCTTAAGAGAAGATGCCGCCATCACAGAAATGAATCCTTCTATTCGTTTATTCTACAATGTTGATCACTTAAAGGTTATGTAAAATAATATCACAGACCTAAAAAGCTAAAACAGAGAAGGTGGAAAAGGAGTTCTCTTCCATGTGTCACAATTCAGTCCTTCACATATTAAAACCCCAGGCAATTTCAATGCTAAGTGTCTGGGATCTGTTCCTAAGACTCCTCTTTCTTTTAGCAGTGAGGAGAGTTCATGGCACTAGGACTGTGGGATCAACTGTAGCTCATGAAGTTGAGTGTGCCTCTAATTTGAGTATTCAGGAAGCTGAAGGAGGATTGTGGGCTCAAGGACAGCCTTGATACACAGTTAATTATAGACTAGCCTGATACAAAGAGACTAGTGCCATTATCTGTTCAAAGGCACAGAATTTATTTGATTATTGCTAGATCCCGGGGTTCCAGGTGTTCAGCAAAGGAGAACTTGTATTCAAATGCTGGCCAATCTCAGCAAGGCTACCTCACACAGAGTGGCACTGCTTTATCTAGGAATGTTAAACAACTATTTGTATTAAGACTGTTATTTCACTGTAAAGAGCACAGAGATATTGTTAAAGGGGCAATTACTTCATCTCCAACCTGAGGGCTGAGCTAATATTAATAAGGCTGGATTGACATCCACAGGCAGTGGGGAACCTACCCTCTGTGTGCTTGCTCTACTTCTGCTTATTACATCACCCCTGTATCCTTACTTTTGTCCCCAGCCCATTGGCTGTCTCCTTCACCCTCAACACAGAAGGTGTGATAGAGTCTTAATCACTAGCTAGTTCGTGGCATACATATAGGGTGGAGTTTTAGTCCACTTGAAAGTTCCAAGCTATAAAAGCTGCCTTTGGATTCAAACTAATTAATTCTAACCATAGCAGCTTTTGGGAAATGAACAACACATGGGTAGTATTCTTGGGGACAGAAAGGAGGCAAGAAGAGGAGTATGTTCTAAGTGGTACAACTATTATAAAGTTCAGAAGTATCCATGGAGTGGCAAAATCATTTAGAGAAATGAAATTACACTTCTTAAACCTTCTCTCAATGTTGACTTCATGACATGAATCATCTCCTTCAATCTTCAAACCAACCAAAAACATCTACTTGCCTCTCCATTTTTTAAAGTGTCACAGATGGCTAGGGAGTTATCTCAGTCTAAAATGTTTGCCTTGCAGGAGCAAGACCCCTGAGTTCAAGCTCTAGAACCCACATGAAAAGACTCTTGGCATTGTGGCTTGATGTCCACATAGTCTAGCCTACTCAGAGACTGAGTCCACTAAGAAGCCCTGTCCTAGGTGGATGATGACCCTAAAGAATGATGCTGGATGTTGCCCTCTGGCCCCCACATGCATGTAACCTTCACAACCATGAGCACACATTAATTAATTCTGAAAGGGACTCATGTAAATTCGGCATATTCTTTAAGATGCTCTATTTAACCAAAAGGATCAAGAATTTAAACTCAGATCTGGTTGGCTTAAATTTTAAATTCTTCTGACATGTCAGATTATATCCTGTGGCAGTGCAGTACAATTTCTTAGATGTCTATTTTTTTTAACTTCATAAAAACTAATAATGCAAAACGAGGCTAGCTAAAGAGGCAGCAACATCTAATGACCGGAGAAGTGGTTTGGGAGCAACGAGCCAATGCACTGGAGTGTGTCCAAAACTCTTAGCTGCCCGCTGTTCTCACAGTCACTCAGACAGCACTGAAGACTCATCTATCGCTAAGCATGGAAGTGAAAGGTTCGCCCCAAGGTCTAGAAAATTATATTTATTTTTTAAATGGCCAATAATTTCAGCAATTCTAAGAAAATGTTACTTGGGGACCAAACACTTCCTCTTTCTTAATTTCATTTTTCCTTATTTTTCTTTATCCTGTCTTTCCTTAAGGTGACAAGGACTTGCTATACTAAGTAACAAAACTAGCTCAGGACAACCTCAGAAAATGACTGGTTTGGAAGCATAAGACAATGTCACCATACTAGATGTCCCCAGATTATGGCATAGTTGTTAGATTTATTATACTTTAAATTTAAGAAAATTTTCATTTATTATGATAGGTTTGTATTTTCTCTTTTTCTGAGATCGTAACTCCTTGAGTTGTCCTCATTCTTCTTTATTTATCTAAGAGGTTTTTTTAATGATTTAAGGATGGGACAAATGGCTCATCAGTTTTGAGTGCCCGTTCCTCTTGTGTAGGACCTGAGTTTGGTTCCCAACAGCTACAATCACCTGTAACTCCAGCTCTGGGGGATCTGATCCCTGCGGACACCTGCACACACATGCACTACAAGCAGATATGCACATGCAAAATAGGTCTTTTTAATAGTGACTTAAAATGAACAAACACTAAGAAATGGAAACAACAATATAACCTCCTTACCAACCCCCTGCAAAGGAATGGCCTCTGTCCATCCTCTGGGGACCAGTACATCCCTTCTCGGAAATCCAGTCTCCTGTCTGTGCTCTTTATAAATAGCATGCTCATCTGGGAACATGGCAACATAAATAAAATGATAACTTCTCGTTATTGAGGCTGTAGATAGATGGCTCAGCAGGCAAAGTAGTTGTTGCACCAGCAAAGAGACCAAGCCAGGTGCCTAAACCAATGTAAAAGCCAGGCCCAGCAGCATACCTGTAAAGCTGGCACTGGGAAGGGCAGACAAGATCCCTAGAGCTCGCTGGCC